TGACTTGCCGCTGGCTGACCTTGACCTGTCGATTGCGCCGGGGATAACTACAGTCGACGGCCTTGCTCGCCTGACGACAGTTCTCGCAAGGTCGGCCGCCGGAGCACTTGACCTTGCGGGCATGGCAGCGGTTGCAGGCGGTCGACTTGATCTTGGGCCGACGGCCGGGTGACGCTGGTGTAGGGTCTGAGTCGGGGGTGTTGAGCGCCCCTGACGCTCGGTCCGGGGTGACGGAGATGGAGTTCATGGTATCGGGGCCGGTTCACGATGGACGGCCGGGCGGGCGCTCGACGAGGGCAATTGGGGGTGCATTCGGAGGGCTTTCAACGGCCTTGTGAGTAAGAGGTAAGATGAGAGAGAGAGAGAGAGAGGAAAGAGAATGCACAGGCGACAGCATTCATTGACATTCACAGACAGATCGCTGACCCCCAAGGAGTCATCGTCGCCGCTGCTGCGACATCGTATCCTCGGGCACAGTCGAGACAGGCCAATTGTCCAGTCAACTCTGAACAGCACTGAGAGAAGTGCTCCGATGTCGTCGGCCAAACGAACCATGTTGCCGAGATGAGTCAGCACTGGGCAAAATTCCAAGCTTGCGAGAAGGGGGCGAAAAGCGCCCTAATCCTTTCGAGATGGTCCTTAGTACCGAGTCGGCTACTCGAGGGTCCGGCCTCCATCGGCATCTCTTCCGAGTGACCGACATGGTGCAGATTCTGCTGCGCGACGCGCTTCGCCGCCATGACGATATCCACTATTCGCCTACTCTTGACTCACTTGGACACGGCCAAGAGGGCTGATCTCGCCGTCTTTCGTCCGCTGCATGGGGATTCCTCGCGATATAACCATTACACCATGGCCCGGCTGAGCCTCACTCGATCATCTGCTCGGTATTCTCCTAACAATTCTTGGCACGCCGAGACGCATCGCCCAAAATGGACTCCGTCGACCCCCGAAAGCTCCCCGACCCACCGGCGCTGTTGATGTCGGCCCCGTTGGAGCCCATGGCCTCCGATATCCCAGTGGCGGCGCCCTCCCGGCACCTTGCCGCTATCGACGATGCCGTCATGCCCATGGCTGTCTGGCGACGATGGGTGACCCTGTTCACCATCTGTTGGCTGCCCATACCAATGACGTTCTCGACCTCGTCTGTTCTCGCAGTTGCACCCGAACTAGCGCGCGAATTCAATGTCCCTGTCACGGCCATCAGCATCGCCAACGCGGGTGTTTTCCTCGCCATGGCCTGCTCGCCGTTGATGTGGGTGCCCATAGGCCGGCTGGTGGGTCGGAGGCCGGCGTATCTCGCGGCGGCCGTCATTCTGTGCGCTTGCTCAGTAGGTTCGGCTCTGGCGCCGAACTTGGCAGGCTTCACAGCCATTTGGGTCGTTGGTGGATCTACGGGTGTGGTGTTTCTGGTCTCTGGACAGACGATTCTGTCTGATATTTTTGAGCCTGTACGTGTCCAAGGCGGCTCAGTTGATTTATCCTCACGTGTGAGGAGAAGAAGGAGAGCAGAAAATACTGACCGAAAAGACCGTCCGCGGCACGGCTGTAGGGTTCTTCCTCGGCACTTGCGTTAGTGCCAACACCATCGCACCACTCACTGGTGGTATCATCGCCACGTACACAAGCTGGCGTGTCATCTACGGGGTGCAGGCCGGCATGACGCTCATCGGTCTTGTCTTGGCTTGGTTCTATGTGCCACTTGATCCGCCTCGTGAAGCACAGCCTAAAACGTCAAAACACGTCCTTGCCCAGTTCTCGCCGATGCCCGTCTTCCGCGTCTTTGAGCACATCAACATTCTCGCTGCCAACATCACCTGCGGCCTCCTCTCGTTCAACCAGTATGGTCTTCTCGGCTCTATACGCTCTGCCTTGACGACTCGATTCGGCCCCGCTTCGCCGCTTACCTCGGGTCTGTTTTACCTGGCCCCTGGTGCCGGCTTCCTGATCGGGAGCACCATCGGAGGCAGGCTATCGGATCATACAGTGCGCCGGTACATCAAGAAGCGCAATGGCTTGCGCCTACCGCGAGATCGACTTAAAAGCAGCTTTCCCGCCATTTTCATCGTACTGCCTTTGGGCACGCTGCTATTCGGCTGGAGTCTGGGCAGGGAAGTCGGTGGTTGGGCCGCCCCGGGGATAGGAGCGTTCCTTGCGGGACTTGGGTTGATGGCCTCTTTTAGTGGCCTGAATACGTACTCTGCTGGTGAGTCTCATGCATATGATGACAGTGCGAGACCCGATGATTTGGTCGTGGAAGCTGACGATAGCAGAGGTGCTCCCGGCGAAGAAGACGGAGGCGATCAGCAGCAAGTACATCGTACAGTACACCTTTGCCGCTGGCACGGTTGCGTCGAGGGTGCCCATCATGGAGGCCATCGGCGTTGGGTGGGCGTTCACCATTAGTACGTTTCATCTGGACAAGCTTGGGTGCATCAGTGGTCTTGTACTGCCATCGCATCTCGTTCCCTCGCTGCTTGCCTCGTACCCATTCGATACTGACTGATCGACCAGGTGCTGTTGCTGCTCTTGCGGGCGGAGTAATTGTGTTGATGATCACGAGATACGAGCCTGAGACGGAGAAGACGCTGCGCGAAGAGGCCGAATGATACCCACAAGTACAATCTAATAAATCCATTGTTTCAACAACTCTCTTCTCGCGTGTGATACGTGTTGGAACATTGATGCGTGTCGCGACCCAAGTCTTGTTGTCTTTTGGTAGGGGGGATATTCGGAACATACCCAATGTCCTCCTGTCGTCTACAACTTACCAGTTGCACCAAATGCACAACGTACGATCGGGTTTCACAACATCTCGACAACCATTGTTCAACCTGTCAGCAACCGAAGTCCCTTGCATGCAGCACTGCCAAGTACGATATGCAGCAAGGTCAGCAGAGCCGCCACAAGCCCCCGCTCAACAACACCTATGAGTTGCAGCCAAGACAGACAATCGTGTCTGACCCTGGACGTTGTGTAAGCGCTTGGAGACTTGAAGAGCAACGTGTCAGAAAAACGACCCACGACAACCAGCAATGGCGAATTGAAATCGAGATTGCTTGGCGTCTACCTCACACGGAGATACGCGTGCCAAAGTTCCTTAGGGACCTGCCATATTGAGCAACCTTCAAGACGAGAATCTAATCTTTGGCTATTCTGTCCGCTGACAGATCTGTGTGCTGGGAACTTTGGTGTCGCCAAGTGCGCTGCAAAGTTCAGAAGCGTACACGATGATGACATTGCTTGAAATGATCTTGTCCATCATCTGTATCTTGAGAAAGGTCTTGGCTGGCTGTGTATCGTATAAATAGGCCTGACTTCTCTTCTCTCACTCTTCCACTTCCTCCAGCACAACACTCTCAGTCTCGCGACAAGTCACTTGCACCTTTTCGAACCTCAACATGCAGCTCACCCAGCAGCTCGGCCTCATGGCCCTCGCAAGCACGGCCTCGGCCTTTGTCGTCGACGTCTTCTCGGGCGAGCGCTGCACCGGCCAGTCGCAGAATGTCAATGTCTATGACAACACCTGCGCGGCCTGGATGATCGGCTACCGGTCATTCAGGGTCAAGACGTACGGGTCCACGCCGCAACGCGCGTACTTCTGCACCGGAGGGGCGTGCAACAACTGCAACAGTTGGTGGGCTGTAGGTTTTTTTTTGTTTCGTGTTCTGCCGCCCGATGAGACGTGTGCTAATGGCTTTGTGACAGGATGTACGTTTATTTTTAGACTTCAACACCACGCGGTGAAGTCTCGACAATCGTACTGACCGAGTGCAGGGCGGAAGCGATCAGTTTCTCAGAAACACGTGCATCAGCCTGGGTAGTAGCCTGCACTGGTCGGCAGGATCGTTCAGGGGCCTCCCGCACAAAAGGGTAAGTCTCGAGGCCGATGACCATGGTATCCATGCCTTTTGTGCAACGCACGAGAAAAACAAAAGTGACTGACTTGGTGATGAATGGAACAGGACGAGATCCCGTCGGACGCCGACCTCGTCCTCGGAGAGTTTACTGAGGCCGACTTCGACAGTAGCGCCGACTACCTTCACGTCGAATGGACCCCCACAGGCACGGAAGACGAGGATGCCCAGGAGCAGTGAGCTTCGGGTCGGAAGGGATGGCCACGATTCGTGTGACCGCCCACGCGAGCTCGACGTCGGCGACACTTTTGGTCCTTGGTTCGGAATCAATTTTCCTTGAAGGCATCCACTACCACGAAGCGTGGACCAATCCACTGGATCGAGCCCCTCGCTCGGTTACGTGCACGGAGTACCCCGATGGATCTCTCGTGCCGTAATCTCCGTCCAAGGACCTGTCGTGCGGATCAAGGTTTGCATCTGATAACTTTAGCCCCGCTGCAGAGTCCACTTGCGATGGCACTCCTTTGACCTCAGATGGCACGCCAGTATCTTGCAGAAAACACACGCGTCATGGGGTGGTTCTGGATGAATGATTCTTCTGTCTTCGGCCGTCAAAGTTTTTCTAATGCTGTCCAAGAGGCTAGCCGCCACGCCTACACCAAGGTATATCCACGAAGGTCACAGACCAATATGTACATGGGAAACAAATGATAGAAAAAATGCGAACAGCGGGGCCGCTTCTAACACGCCGCATCTAAGAGTACCAGTGGTTGGGGGTCCAGTTGACGTAGGTCGAGTCGATGGCCTTGAGGCTGGGGAGGCCGAGGTTGCCGGCATCGACAATCAGCTCGCGCCTCAGAAGCTCGGTGACCTTCTCAACACCCTCGGTGCCGTAAATGTTGGCGAACATGTAGGGGCGACCGACGCCGACGGCCTTGGCGCCGAGCGCGAGGAGCTTGAGGATGTCACCGCCGTAGCGGACGCCGCCGTCGGCCCAGACCTCGGTCTTCTTGAAGACCTCGGGGGCCTTCTGGTTGAGCTCGAGGAGGATCTCGAGGGAGGAGGGGGAGCCGTCGAAGGAGCGGCCGCCGTGGTTGGAGACGAGGATGGCGGGGACCTTGTGCTTGATGGCCTGGCGGGCCGTCTCCACGCTTGTGACGCCCTTGACGGCGATGGGCAGCTTGGTGACCTTCTTGAGCTGCTCGTAGTAGTCCCACTATAGTCGTCCCAGTCAGTCACACAAGTTCTTCCTCTCGAGAGATCCATAGCGCCGAGTCATTCAGCATGTGGGGGGGGGACGGGAACTCACGGTGAGCTTGGTGAGCTGGGTGTTGGCGGAGCCGACACCGAAGCGCGCGGCGCGCTGCCTGTTGCTGCCGGCGGAGGAGTC